GCAGCAGTGGTGGCAGGAGCCTCTCCTGCCTCTGCGGCAGCACTAGGATGTCCGACTGATGGCTTAGGCCTGCTCCCCCCATCAGTTGGACATCCCCCAAGGGCTCCCAGACTGCGAGAGGGTGCAGGCTGGGCTGAGGGAACCTCCCACACACACACCGAGTGCACAAATTTTGTGCACCAGGCCTCTAGTGTACTATAATACCAGTACCTATTTGTGGGAAAATCTAATAAAGTCTTTAAAATGATCATGTTTGAAACACTCAAACATAAATTTAAAAAAACACGATTTTTTTAAAACCTTTTTTTTTTAAGAAAACATAAAAAGTTCCAAAGCCAAGAACTGTTGATTGAAAATGGAGACATTTGAGGCCTATGTGAAGTATTGAGTTCCCCAAAGCTGCATCATTTTCTTTCCAGAGAAGTTGTGTAGTCCCTTCAGCCAGTGCTGGTTACTACTTTCCTGTTCTGTCCATATGAGTCAGTATTTCTATACCAAATCTGCATTAGTCTCAAAGGGAAGGGATCTTCAGTGTGGTGGTGATGCTGAGTTTGAAGGAAAGTGACCCATGGCGCTAGGCTCTGCTCAGCAGATGTGACCAGAAAGGGACGGGGCCAGGTCTCTCTTGCATAGCTTAGGGAAGAAATAAAGCTTGATGATGGAGACTGCTGCTGCGTGTGTTTCTGGGACACAGTGAAGTTGGTATGATTATCCAGGCCTATCATATTGTTTGTCATGCCATCTTGTCAAAATGTCCTTTTTCTATAATTTTATAATTAACCAGTAACTAGTGGAAATATTTGGGAGATTTTCTTTACAAAACTTTTAAATCTTTAAAATGTTAGTGTTTGCTCTCAAAGAAATTTTAAAGTTTGTATTCTCATTTAAAGGATCAAAATTATTTTAATTATTTTGGGAATATGCATGATGACTTTATTTTGACTTGGGACAATTTAAAATACTGGAAATATTTGCTTTTAATATTTTTTTTTCTTAAGCAGGTGACCTTGACTATAGTGCTGTGTTGCTTGGCATGCTGGTGATGCAGGATGTACAGCTGGGGTTATTCATAGCTGTCATGCCAACTCTTATCCAAGCAGGAGCCAGTACATACTCTAGGTACATTTTTATATTATTTTATTTCATGGTTTGTTTTTCTGGTTTCAGATCATTTGTTTATAAAAATACTATTTGATACCTTTTTCCAAAGATACGTTCAGAGCTTGTATTGCATTATATAGCACAGGCTCAGGAGTAACACTGCCTAGACTCACACTCTAGCTCTGTGGACATTGGTTGGGCAAGTTATTTAACTTCACGCTTCCTCAGGTTTCTCATCTGTAAAGTGGGGATAATATCAGTACTTACTTCATGGAACAGTTAGGATTAAAAGAGTTAAGATATAAAATGCCTGGAACATAGTGGGGTGTGTGTAGTGGGGATATATCAGTACTTACTTCATGGAACAGTTAGGATTAAAAGAGTTAAGATATAAAATGCCTGGAACATAGTGGGGTGTGTGTGTTTGTGTGTGTGTGTGCGCGCGCACGCACACACTATCATTAGTGACTGTCGTTGTCATCTTCATTACCATTTTCCCTGATCCTTTTTCCTAGTCTTCTAATAAAATAATACCAGAACTCAAACTGTACTTGCTTAGGTTCATATTGATGGGAAAAGCCAAATGGGAAAAATAAATTCACTCAAAAAGCTGTAGGTTGGGTTGCATATATAATATATTACAAGAATGCCCGCCAGAAAATAAATACACTTGCAAAATATAGGGTGCCCTGTACAATTTAAAGGTACATTGCATGTGGGTTAGGATTATAAACTTGAATTTGTTTAAGCAAATATACTATATGCATATAAATATTGTACTTTATTTCCAGAGGATACTTTTTTTTTTACCTCTTACAGTAACAATACTATTGGTCAAAAATTAGTAGACTTTGAAATTCCTTTTGGAACCACTTTGAAATGCTAAAATCGTTCTCATTTACTTTATTTCTTCTGTATGACTTCATCTAAACCTAATCACTTCCCAAAGGCCCACCTCCAAGTACTGTCACATTGGGGTTCAACATATGAATTTGGAGGGACACAAATATCCAGTCCATAACACTTTTTGGGTTTATCATATTTGGTGTTGGCTAAGCTGCTTGAATCTGTAGATTTATGTCTCTTGCCTAATTTAGGAATTTCAGCCATTATTTCCTCATGTAATTTTTCAGTTCCATTTGCTTTCTCCTTCTGGGACCCCAGTGATTTGTTTGTTTGTTTTTGTCCCACAGTCCTCTGAGACTTTTCCTTTTTTTCCCCAGTTTATTTTCTTTCTGTTCTGACTGAGTAAATGCTTTTGATCTGTCCTCAAGTTCACTGATTCTGTCCTCTGTCATCTCCACTCTACTATTTAGCTTATCTAACATTTGGCTCTTCTTTTTATAACTTTTATTTCTTTTCTGAGATTTTTCTTTCTTTTTTTTTCATTTATTTCGAGAGAATTTTTGAGTGCTGTTGAGTTAATTTTATGATAGCTGCTTTAAACTCTGTCAGATATTTCTAACAATGATTCATCTCTATGTTGGAATCCTTTTATTGTCTTTTCTCATTCAAGTTGTGTTTTTTCCTTGATTGTTGTGGGGATAAGTGATTTTCAGTTGTATCCTGGACGTTTAGTATGAGTATCTAGATCCTATTCATCATACCTTTTAAAATAAGCAGTCCCCCAGTGAGGTGTGTGTGACATTGTGTATGTGCGTGTTCATCGCCCTGCTAGGTTCCACCCAAGTGAAGCCCTAACTGACAAACCTACCTTATTGCACATGGGTCGGGTAGAAGTATTTTGTATTTTTTAGTATTTACCTTTGCCAGATATTCTATTAAGTTTCAGCAATCCCAGAATGATTAAGATCTCTTCTCTGCTCTCAGATAACTCAGCTATGTTAAAAATGAATGCCTTTTTAACTGAGATTTCCAGAGGTCAAGGCTCATGTCCTGGAGCAAAGCCTCCCTAGAGTTCTAGCTCAGCCATTTGCCAGCTTTGGCAACTTACCGAACCTCTCTGGGCTTCAGCTTTTCTCACCTATAAAATGGGGACAATTTGGAAATAGGACCTATCCCATGCACTGTGTAAGGGCTGCAGGAGAGGATCCCATAAAGCAGTTAGACCAGTCGCTGGTATATGTAACTATTAAGGTCGGTTATTGAGGTCATTTTCCCTTAAAGACATTATGCTAAGGGAAAGAAGCCAGTCACAAAAGGCCATATATTGGATGATTCCATTGTTATGAAACATCCAGAATAGGTAAATCCACAGGGACAGAAAGGAGATCAGGTGTTGCCAAGCGCAGAAGAAAAAGGAATGGAGAGTGAGTGGGGGTGGATACAGGGTTTCTTTTTGAGGTGGAAATATATTCTAAAATTGATTGCGGTGGTGGTTGCAATTCACTTTATGAATATACTAGAAAACCATTGAATTGTACACTTTAAATGGGTAAATTGTATAGGTTGAGAATAATATCTCAAAACTATTGACATTATATGCAATATTTTCTGAACTACATAAAGAAAAAACGCATGGAGAGACCATAAATATGTGTATATATGAATAACAAGTATATAACAAGGTATTAATGAATAATAGATTATGATACTTTTATTGTCTATTATACATACATTTTTATATAATTTGGGAAAAACCTCTTTTCCAATTTTAATAACCAGAGAAAATTTATAGTAAACAAATTAAATAAAACCAGTTTTAATTTTAATATAAACTTTGCCTCTTTAGGAGGCTTTATTCAGAATTAATCTTTTTTTAATCCTTATCCAAGGAAATATTCATTGATTTTTAGAGAGAGGGGGAGAGAGAGAGAAACATCAATGTAAGAGAGGAACATTGATCAATTGCCTCCGATATACGACCAACCAGTATTGAACCCGAAACCTAGGTCTGTGCCCTGTCTGGGAATTGAACATGCTACCTTTTGTGTATGAGACAATACTCCAAGCACCTGAGCCACCCAGCCAGAGCTAGAATTAATCTTGATCTTTCCTAAAGGGAAGAATTAACTTCTTTACCCCAAATATTTCATGGGTAATGAGCAGAGCACAGAGACTACGATAAAGAATACTTTTAAAAAATAAAGTGATTTGAATTATTAGAATTAAAATCTTGCAAAACCATGGAAGTTCTAGAAGAAAGTATGGATGAATTTATAATATTGAAGATGGGAGGGCCTTTCTGCTTCAAGCAGAACACAAATTCTAGAAGCCATAAAGGACAAGAAAAGTGATAAGTATTACTGCATTAAAGTTGTTTAAATACACAAATATACATGTAAACACCCATATACATACACATATGTATACACATACATGTACTCGTTTGGTAAGCAGGCCAAAGACAAATGCATACATACACGTACACATATGTATACACATACATGTACACACATATGTACATGTACATGTACTCGTTTGGTAAGCAGGCCAAAGACAAATGGGAAAAATATGTTTGTACACATATTAAAGACAGGGGGTTAAGTTTCTTATTTTATCAAAATCTACAAATTAATAAATTTTTGAATCCCAATTTAAAAAATAGGTGAGTAATATAAGCAGCTAATGTAGAAATGAGTAAATGGAAGATGCTCCCTTCGCACAAGGGAAAAGTAATGGCTCTTTTACCTGTCAGACTGCAAACCTTTAGAAGTGGTATGATGCCCAGTGTTGCAGAACGGCACTCTGGGGTCTTGGTTGGGGGTGGGAATTGGAGCAGCCTTCCTGGCAGCTCATTTGGCAATGTCTGTCAAGTGTAGACTGTTGCACATGAATATGCTCCCAGAAGCTCATCATTCAGCACATCAAGAACCTAGAACAGCCCAGGTGTCTGGCTGAGAAAAAGATGACATAGACACATGATGGAATGCTGACTCGGCTGTTGAAATGAGTTTATGCTTGTGCTGGCATAGAAACTTTGCCAAAGCTTGATAAACAGAGAAATAGAGATGCAGAATAGTACCTTTCTGAGCTATTTGACTATTTTATCCTCACCATGATGCATTTAATAGACAGTCGGGAGGTAGATCTGGATGCAGGCTCTGGACATGGTGATTGCAGAGCCTGTGCAGCAACTAGGAGCACAGGCCCTGGCGCCAGACACCTGGCACGTGACCTGAAGTGATGGCTTGGCCTTTGCCTCCACTTTCTTGTCAGTAAGATGGGATGGTGACAGTGCTGGTCTGGTTGTGGCTGCAATCTCTTAAGTGGCTGCAATCTCTTTATCAGATAAATAAACTGGACTGAGACTAGAATACTTGTAACATGCCATGCACAGGGGAGGATGGCCGCTCTCAGGGAGTTGCCGTGATGTCTGGGGAAGATATTGAATGAATGATAAATAAGTGAATGGTCAACAAGAAAATGCCTAGTGTAGGTGAGTGCTGTGCAAAGAATTATAATGGGGTGATGAGTCCGCAAACAACGGATAACCACTTCAGATTGGCAAGGCATCTGAGCAGTTGACTTTGAGGCTGAACTCTGAAGGACACAGCTGAGCCAGTCAGCGAGGAGAACCTGGGGTGGGGTGGGGTGCACTGGCTCCACAGCTGGGGAGTGTATGGCCTATCAAGAAGCAAAGGCTGGCCCTGGCTGGTTTGCTCAGTGGATAGAGCGTCAGCCTGCAGACTGAAGGGTCCCAGGTTCGATTCTGGTCAAGGGCACATGCCTAGGTTGTAGGCTCAATCCCCAGTGGGGGGCGTGCAGGAGGCAGCCAAGCAATGATTCTCTTTCATCATGATGTTTCTATCTCTCTTTCCCTCTCCCTTTCTCTCTGAAATCAGTAAGATAATAATAATAATGACTTCCCAAAAAAAGAAGGTCATACCACATGTGACGTCTTGATAAAGTAACAATTGGTGCAATAACTTCAGCTATACAGGCATTGAAAAAAAGAAGAAGAAGTAAAGGCCGGTGTAGGCTGCTCTGCAGGTGAGGGTCAGTGGAAGGTGCTGTTGGGTGAAGGAGTCTTGGCTCATCTGAATGTCACAGGAGCTTTGGACATCTGACTGATGTTCCCAGCATGCTATTTAGGCCTCTGTGGAGCATGAACGAGATAAGTTAGGAGGGTATCATCACAGTTTTGCAGGGATATGATCACTGATGTAATGTGGGAGTCTGGTCAGGAATTTGAGGTAGACTCAACCTACTTTATTCTGTCCCAGTGAGCACATTTCTATTCCTGCCCGGGCTGCAGACCCTGATTTCTCACACTGGCTCCCCCACTTTAAAGATGTGGAGTCATTCACAGTGACTTTGCTTCTTTGCTGCAATCCCAGCTCTGTTCCGATTCCCCTAAGTAATCATGTGCAACTTGAGATTTGTGTCCCGTGCTGCTATTTTAAGCCTGACTGCTGCAATGAATTCTCTCTTAGTACAGTAGTCCCTGCTCATCTGTGGGGATACGTTTCAAGACCCTCAGTGGATACCAAAAAACACAGATAGTACTGAACCCTGTGTATGCTGTATTTTTTTCCTATGCATACGTATCTATTTACTTAAAGGAAGTACTTTACAACTTCTGTTTGGCATATCTGAATTGCCAGCATCACTATTCTTGCACTTTGGGGTCATGATTAGGTAAAATAAGGGTTATTTGAACACAAGAACTATAATACCCCAACAGTTGATCTGATCACCAAGACAGCTATTAAGAGACTATCAGGCAAGTAACGTATACAGCCTGGAGACACTGGACAAAGGTGATTCACATACCATGCAGGACAGAGCAGGACGGTGGGAGATTTCATAATGCTACTCAGAACCGTGCACATAAACTTATGAATTGTGGTGTTGTTGTTTTTTTTGGAATTTTCCATGTAATATTTTCAGGCCATGGTTGACGGTGGATAACTGAAACCAATAAAGCGAAACCACAAATAAGGGGGGAACTACCAACATAAGATTTGTATTCTTCCACTGAGACCTTCTAAACCGGAACTTTGGACTGAATGGTTTCCTAAATATGGTGGAGAGCTAAGTTTAAGAAAATATGTAGCCCTAGCTCAGTTAGCTATCGTCCTGATATGCCAAGATGTTGGGTTCCATCCCTGGTCAGGGCACATAAAAGAATCAACCAATGAATGCATATATAACTGAAATAACAAATTGATGTTTCTCTCTTTTTCTCTCTCTCTTTCCCTCCTCTCTGAAATCAATAAATAAAAATAAAATATTAAAAAACCAAAATATGTATATTATTGTAAATGCTACAAATTCAAGGTGTCCCAACACATGTATACACACTTTGACAGCTGATAGATAACTCAATGGATGTTTCTTTCTTTTCAGCCAGACTAAGCTGAAAAACAAAGAAAATGAACAAAGGAAATTCATCCTAAAATGCTACTGGAAGTTTGAAAATGCAGTTGAAGTACAAACATTGCCTTTATAATTATTTGAAGTGTGTGTACATTTTTTGGGGACATAGGCTGTCCCCCCCCAAAAAAAACCCCACAAAAACATATACACACTTTAACAGCTGGTAACTCACTTAATTTTCACTCCTTTTCAGATCTAACTGATTTGAAGTAATGGATAAAGCCAGACTAAGCTTTGAACAAAGAAAATTTATCCACTAGACATTTTTATGCTGATACATAAAAGAAACTTTATGCTAAAGAAAATGGCAACAGTTGATAAATTGAGGGCACACAAATACCAAACACAATGATTCTTAATGTTTGTGACTCCATTGCTTCACATTATCAGCAGTGCCTGAAACAGAAACAGTCATCAGTTTGAAAACAGGTGTTGACAAAAAAAGTTATTCATTTCTGTAGATCACATTAAATTTTGAAAATGAACTGTTTGTTAATAAATACTGATTTTATAATCATTCAAAGTGTGCAGACATTTTGGGGACATCCTATATATAATAGTGCCTTTTTTGTGAGCTTAGTACAGAATCCTTTTCTTTATGACTAAGTAATAGACATAAAATTCAGAGTTCTGACTTGAGATAAGAAAATATTTTGTGAAAGTCACTGGAATTCTTTAGTTATACTTCTAATGTGAGCCTGCAGTGTAATATTACAGGGTGACTATCGCCTTATGAAGAATTTCAAATGGGGGTTATTATCTGAGAAGGAATTTTATTATCTATCACTGACTTATACAAGCTGTCAGTTAAGGATCGTTACATCCCACAAATCGCATTTGCTTCAAAGAATTGATTGCAAAGTAATCCAGCTTCTTTATTGATTCAAATAAAAATTTCTGAGATTAATATGATTGATAGTTTTAATTTTAATATTTGGAAATAAAAATGTATGTGATTTGGGTCATTTATTTTACAACATGTTAGAAAATAGTGGAAGATCATTTTATTGGGTTTTAGAGAAATATGTTTAGAGGTGAAATAACATGTCTTTTTTTTTTCCTTTCCTAGCATTGTCATGGAAATACTACGAATACTGGTTTTGATTGGTCAGATTCTTTTTTCGCTGGCTGCTGTTTTTCTGTTATGTCTTGTTATAAAGACTTACCTTATAGGACCATATTATCGAAAGCTACATATGGAAAGTAAAGGGAACAAAGAAATCCTTATCTTAGGAATCTCGGCTTTCATCTTTTTAATGTTAACGGTAATTCTCATAATATTTTTTATTTATGTAATTTGATTTATATAATCTGTTCACTGAAAGCTTGTGATCAGTTTCTTATCTTTTTATTTTAATAATAGTTAAAATATTAAACACTTATTAGTATTTTTTATTTTATACACAGTTATGCTACCCATCAATATTAATATGAGTTAAACCTATTTAACTGTTTTAACTCATACTCTTAAGCATTTTGCTAAAAACGTATTTGTGGAGTGCTGCATTAAAAAAACAAATCTAACCCTAGCCGGGTGGTTCAGTTAGTTGGAGCATCATCCTGTATGCAAAAAAAACACACACAAAATCTAGCCCTGGTTGGTGTCCTCAGTGGTTAGAGCATCAGCCCATGCACCATAGAGTTTCGGGTTTGATTCATGGCCCCAGTTGGGGTGCGTGCAGGAAGCAACCAATCTCTCTATCTCTCTCTCTATTTCTCTCTCTCTCTCTTTCTCCCTCCCTTTCACTCTCTCAAAAAAATCAATATAAACAGTATCTTCAGGTGAGGAATAACAAAAAGCAAACCTGTGAGAATGAAAAGCCACCAGTGTCAAACCATCTTACTCTGTCTTAAACTTTTAAACAGCTTTGTACCTGACAAAAGATTAACAATTTAAAAACAAATTTTAGTTCTGCTCCATAATGACAAGGTAGTCAACAGAACTTCTTTTGCCGTAAATGTGAAACGTTAAAAAAAAAAGGTGTGTTTTGGAGGCAGCCTTCTCCTTATTTAAAAGACAAGAGTCTCATGAGAATGGGGACAATGCTGGGAGACCCCCTCCTAAGTGGTTTAAGTACTAATGGCATCACTAGACTACCAGCATTTGCTCTCCTTGGCCTGTACCCCAGAGAAATGAAGACTAGGTTCACACGGAAACTTACACACTAATGTTTACAGCCGCTGCCCAGATGTCCTTCAGCAGGTGAATGTTTCCACCAGCTATGGTCGCTATGGTCCATCCACACCAAGGAAGACCACCTGGTTTTAAAACTATTGGTACATGATTTACCAGAGAATTGTGTCGAATGAGAAAAGCCAGCCCCAAGGGTTGCATGATTCCATTTGTGTGAGATTTATTAAGACACAATTTCAGAATGGAGGGAAGATTGCTGGCTGCCAGGTATTAAGGAGGGGGTGGGGGTGGGAAGGATCCTCATGGGGACAGAATGTTCCACCTCTCTTCATTGTGACACGTCAGTATCCTGGCTGTGACCTAGTGCTATGATTTGTTAAGATGTTGCCATCGGGGAAACTGTACTTGGAATCTATGATTATCTCAAAATAAGTTTAATTTTAAAAAGGAAATTAGCAAAAGTTACTTCCTTATATATGATTTAATTGCCTGCTAGTATTTCATAATCTTGGGAGAAGACTATGATTTGCTTCTGCTCAAAGCTGCTCAAGTATGTGACTTCCGTAATTGTTTTACATTGCTTTATCCATTCCGGAGTATTTTTCTCTTTGAAAATAGCATTCAGCACATTTGTCTTATCTGGATGACTTCCTTGCTGTTTCCCCAGTCATTGGTTCTTAGTTTTTTTTCCCTTCATTTGACTATAATTACTAACCACCTGCTATAGTGGCCAGGTATGGTGTTAGGTGTTGGGCATTTTGCATATTGGGTATTCTTATAATCCCTCTGTCAGACTCCTCATTTATTTCTGTGTGATATTCCATCACATATTTCACAAATCATCCTTTCTGTTGTTAGCTACTAGGGTTTGTTTCCATTTAGGGCTGTTATGAATAAAGCTGCTGTATATTCTCATATGTGTTCTTTGTTGGACATGTGATGTCACATCTGATGAATATATGTCTAGGAGTGGAGTCGCTGGGTTGTAGGGTATACCTGTGTTTAACTTTAGTAATTTCCCGTGCTAGTTTTCCCCAAGTAGTTATACTGGTTTATACCCTTACCAGAGTTGTGTTAGGGTTCAGTTTCTTCGTATCCTCACCAAAACTTGTGTTTTCTGTCAGTCTTTGTAATTTTAACCATTCTTCTAGGTGGTAGTATCTCGTCTGGGTTTTGATTTTCATTTCCTTGATGACTGATGGTGTGAGCACCTTCCCATATGCGTATTAGCCAGGTGGACATCCTCCTTGGAGATGTGCCTGGTAGAGTCTTAAGGTTATTATTCTATTGAGTTGGTTATTTTCTTACTCATTTGTAGGAGTTTTTTATATGTTCTGCCAAAATTTTGACAAATTTCTTATTTACTGATTTAAAGTGTACGATTCAGTGGTTTTCAGCATATTCACAATGCTGTGCAACCATCACCACTATCCAATTTCAGAACCAATTTCTTTCACCCCAAAAGAAACCCTTTACCTCACAATTCTGTCTGTTCCCTACCCCCTCGTCACCACTAATCTACTTTCTGTTCCTACGATTTGCCTCTTCTGGACATCTTACATAAATGGGATCATGTAATATGTGGCCTTTTCTATCTGGCTTATTTTACTTTGCATGTTTCAAAGGTTCATCCATGCTGTAGCATGTTTTAGTACTTTGTTTCATTTTATGGCTGAATAATATTCTATGTCAGATATATTTTTCCTAAGGTTTCCTAGTTTGTGACTTTCCCTTTCACTTGCTGAATGGCTTCTTTTTTTTTTTTTTTGATGAACAGCAGTTCTTAATTTTAATGAAGTCAAGTTATCCATTTTTTTTTTTGGTTAGCAATTTTTATATTCTACATAAAAGACCTTTGCCTAACCGTGGCCACTTTAGCTCAGTGGTTAGAGCATCAGCCCGTGGACCTGAGGGTTTCAGGTTTGATCCCAGGTCAAGGGCACATACCTCTGTTGCAGGGTCGATCCCCAGCCCCAGTTGGGGCTTGTGTGAGAGGCAACCAAGCGATGTGTGTCTCTCACGTCAATGTTTCTCTCTTCCTGCCTCTCTTCCCTCTCTTCCTCCCTCCATTTCTCCCTCTCTCTCTCTTCCTCCCTTCCGCTCTCTAAAAATCAATGGAAAAAAATATCCTTGGGTGAGGATTAAAAAAAAAAAAAAAGACCTTTGCCTACTCCTGGATCACGAAGATACTTCCGTTTCCTCGCTAGAAGTGTTACTGCTTTACTTACCTTGTTAGATCTGTCCATCTGGAGGTGAGTGTAACACATGAAGGAAGGAAGTGGAATTTGTTTTTTCACAGGCTTTTCCCCACACTGTGTGCTGAAAGACCCCCCCCCCCCCCCCCCCAGGTCACCTTGTCAAAACCCAAGAGGCCGTGTGAGAGCTTGTGTGCGTGTGCGTGTTTCTGACCTGCACTCCGCTCCCTTGGCCAGCATACCTGCCCTCACAGCTGGCAGTGTAGCGCCAGCTTCCTTCTCCATCAGGGTTGTCTTGGCTCTACAGGGTGGGCAAAAGGAGGTTTACAGTTGTTCGTATGGAAAATAATATCATCTACACTAATAAAAGAGAAACATGGTAATTAGTGTACAACCGCTACCCTTCCCATTGGCTAATCAGCATATCCTTATGCAAATTAACTGTCAGCCAAGATGGCGGCTGGCAGCCATGCACTGAAGCGAGCAGGGAGGCTTGCTTGCTCCAGTGACGGCGAACTCCAACGTTCCCCGCCTGCCGCTGCCGGCCTCTCAGCTGCAACTCTAAGCAACTATGTACTGTGTTGCAAATAAGAAGCTAAACAAAACCCCAGAAACCGGCTTTCAGCCAGCCGGACCGCAACATTGTATCGATGTTTTCAGCAGTGAGGCCTCAGAGCTAAAGCTGGCCCAGAATAAAAAAGAAAAAAGAAAAAAAGGAGCGGTTGGGAGCTTCAGTCACCCGCTTCCGGAAAACAGCCCTCAGCCCCTCACCCAGACTGGCCAGGCACCCCAGTGGGGACCCCCACCCTGATCCAGGACACCCTTCAGGGCAAACCAGCCAGCCCCTACCCATGCACCAGGCCTCTATCCTATATAGTAAAAGGGTAATATGCCTCCCAGCACCGGGATCAGCGGAGCAGCGAGGCTCCCGGCACCGGGATCAGCATGACAGGGGGCAGCGCCCAAACCCCCTGATCGCCCTGCGGCTCTGTGTGTGACAGGGGGCGGGGCCACAACCTCCCTATCCGCCCTGCTCTGTTCGTGACAGGGGAAGGCACCCCAACCCCCTGATCAGCCCTGCTCTGTGCCTGATAGGGCGGAGCTCCCCAACCCCCTGATCACCCTGCGGCTCTGTGTGTGACAGGGGGCGGGGCCACAACCTCCCTATCCGCCCTGCTCTGTTCGTGACAGGGGAAGGCACCCCAACCCCCTGATCAGCCCTCCTCTGTGCCTGATAGGGGGGAGCTCCCCAATCCCCTGATTGCCCTGCGGCTCTGTGTGTGACAGGGGGCGGGGCCACAACCTCCCTATCCACCCT